GTTGTAGTAGCTCAGGTGGGTAGCTGCGTCAGCATGCGTAGGCTGCAAAGGAACAAGCAATAGGTTTATTCCATGCTGAAAAAAAGAAGAAAGAGAACACATAAGATTTATGTTGTTTTTGTAAACCTCCCTAAATACGCCAAAGCATTTTCTATTCATTGCACTGAACAATAATGCACAAGATACCGAAGAAACTCAAATTGGAAAGGATACAAACAGCATTTTCTGGAACTGCCAGATTTGATGAGGTTGAAGTAAAAGCGTAGAACGTTATGTTTTCCATCATGTTTGTGGCACTTGGAAAAACAGGTTGAAATATGAAAAGAATTTGAGAATAAAGTGAAAATCACTGGAACAGTGAAGTATAATTGGTCATTTTTGCTGTGTACTAGTGAAAAGTGTAGTTTAGATCAAAAGACTGATGTGAGGCAGAGGTAGAGATTTCAGCTTTTGTTTCAGGGTGTTATTCTGCGTCTGTGTTTAGAACAGGGTCGTTTGTTGTGTCCTAGATCTGTCCCAAGAGGAGCTAGGGTATTGGCTTCAACGACACGGCAGGTTAGCCGTGTTTCCCAATTTTCACTATGTGGGAAAGCTCAGCTGGGAAGATCTGTGTTTGCCTGTGGATCAGAAGCATTTTGGATCAGATTGTATTACTATGATTAAAAGGTAATACAGAGAGTCACACCTTCAGCAATGGAGTCAACAGGTGACACTATAGGTAGTGTGGCTGATGTGTGAGCCCACTTTTACCTGCTGGTAGGCACATAGTGAAAACAGTAAGCTAAACAGAGATACTGCCTTGTAGCACTGAGGCCTGGGTTTCATTCTGGTTTAATTCTGGACCTGGGCTGCTATCTGTGTGAAGTTTGTGTGGGTTTCCTCCAAACATTACCACATTGTGGTATGTGAACTGGCTCTGGTGTGAGCGGAGAATGTGTCTCCATGTGCCTTGTGATAGACTGTCGTCCTGTCCAGGACAGGCCCTGCCTTCTCCTTTCTCCTGAACTGGATGAAGTGGTTAGAAAACAGATGGATGATTCACTTGTATCTGCACCATGAATACTGGAAAGCTGAAACTTTTAAAAATATCTGTTTTTCATCTGTTGGATGATAAAAGTATCCCGTTAAGGCCCGAGTTAGATCTGGGCATATGGATAGAAAACTTAAATAAGACTTACATAAATGACACAGACTAGAAATTAACGGTTCTTTGTTCCATGTTTTTAAACGTTTATTATTACAATTGCATAAATTAGTATAAAGGTTTGCATCCCAAAGGATAAACAACTCCAGAATAATGTATTCTCAATTGCTATCAGAGTTGTTACAGTGCATATATTGTCATGATCAGAGTAACCTGGAGAACAAACCGATGACACGGTGTTACTTCTGTGTCTGTTCCTTCTGCTCTGACTGATGAGAGAGAAAAACGCAGGAAAAAATATTTCTTTTCGGCTCGGGAAGGAATGATGGAAGTCATTCCTTGTGTCTGTTTACTTGCACATACATGTAGCTGTCGAACGCGTGAATGGGGACACCTGGCTAGCAGAACACCTGGACTGATGCCAAGCAGCTTTTAATCGCTCCCTAACCTCAAAGTGTGTGGATATACGCCAGCCAATGCAGTGTCAGTAAAGATAAGCCAACAATATAATAAAAATAATTAATAATTAACACATCTTTACATATCCCGTGGCTCTCCTCAATGTCTCTTAGTAAGCCTCCAGTAGTTGCAGCACCTGGTATCCAGAAAGAAAATTTCTGCAGACTTTATACAGTGGTTTTCTCAGAGAGCCGCTGGAGTACTGCCTTACGGCGGACAGCGGAGGGGTTACAGCAATAAAGATAAGCCCTGCCTCTCGTGACCGGGCCGTGGGCAAACCCGAAACTGCCCAGCGCCGACCAGGCCAGCAGCACCCGCCGCCGACAGCTCCTTTCCCGCGAGGGTCGCGTGCGCCGAGCCGGGGAACGACCGGTCCCGAGCGCCGCCTCCTCAGCCGCCCGGGCAGACGTGGGAGAGGAAGACGTCGACCTGGTTCTTGACGATCAGGGCGGGGGGGTGGAGGGCGTGCGGGAGGCGGTGGGCCAGCGTCATCTCCCAGGCGTCCACCAGCACCACGTCCAGGCCCTGGAACATGTGGCGCAGCAGGGCGTCCAGCTGCAGGGAGAACCAGTCGCTGTTGTACAGGCTGACCTCGGGGCCGAGCTCCTGCACGTTGGCCGTCTTGAGCACCACCAGCGTGCGCGGGCTGCGGGCCAGCAGGCGCCGCACGGCCCGGCGGATGTTGCGCAGCCGGCGGATGTAGACCTCGGCGGGGAAGGTGCTGAAGTGGGACCAGATGGTGATGGCGACCACCACGTCCCGCCCACCCACGATGCCCTCCAGCTCGTTGGCCACGTAGCGGAGCTCGCTGGCGGCCACCGTGGAGAAGCGGATGGGCGGCCCGTGGCAGCGGTACTTCAGCATGATGCCGTGCGCGCTGTCCACGGCCAGGAAGGGGCCCACGTTCTTCGGGCTGCCCAGGTTAAACTCCTGAAGACCTGGCGGGAAGAGAGGGCTCAGAACGATCTAACCCCCGATTAAAGTAGAGGGCGGCCCAAATACGATACCATGGCAAGCGGCCGTTCACTGACACAGAGACGTCAATACACACCAGGCTGGGTTTTCTTTCTGCCAGCAGCCATATCACTCTGCAACTCACCACTGGCAGCCCACTGAAGCTCAGCAGGTGTGGGCCTGGCCAGTACCTGGATGGGAGACCTCCTGGGAAAGCTAAGGTTGCTGCTGGAAGAGGTGTTAATGGGGCCCTGCGGTCTGTGTGGGTCCTAATGCCCAGATGAGACGTAAAACCGACATCCTGACTCTCTGTGTATTAAGACTTTGGTACAGGCACAGGGTGAGAAGTGAAATGCCAAAAATTCTTCCACCTATGCATTTGCATTGATATCAAGAAGGGGTATTGTCACCTTCGGTATAATACTTTGTTCAGATGCTCAATGGTGGAGACAAACCTCTACAGAGTATCAAGCAGCCAAACAAGCCAACAGCTGTGATCAGAATTAGCATCATAATGCTGCTAGTCACCAGAAAAACATGCCACTGAGTACATGAATCAGGGTACTCTCAACTGATCTATTGTACAAATTCCACTCTGTGAAATCTGGGGCTTCCCCTTAGATAAACTGTCCTGTGCTGGGCTGTCTGTGGGCCAATCCAGTGAAAACAATTGTATAATAAGAAGACATAATTGTATAAGCGTACTGAGTATCATTGCTATTTGCACTTGCTAAGTGTGTGTTTTTCACATCTAAATTCGTGGCTGTGAACCCTCTGGTTCTCCCACCTCCGAGTCACTCATTATTTGAACCCGTGCAGCTCTGTACCAAGGAGCTTTCCTCCTCTTGCCTGCCAGCGTGCACGAAGCCACAGGGGCCGCAGTCAGGTATCGACATGGCTCAGGCTCAAACCCGTGACTGAATAAGAATGCGCCTCCTCTTTACCAACAGAGCCACTCAGGAGCACCTGCTACCATGTATCGTACTTTCACAACGTACAGTATAAGAACTTTCTCATACATCAAAATGCAGTACTAAAAAGTATTACCCACCTTTATAATTTTGGCAGTGTCTGGAAACATTCAGCTGAGCCACAATCTACTCCCACTCATTCAAATAAACCCTGAAATCACTACACAGCCAACAGCAATTCACCTCATTATACTGAGCCACAAAGACACTCCAGGTTTTGCTCCTATTACCTGATTTTAGGAATAAACAACATGCTCACCAGATTGTTATATACTCTTCAGCACAGTTAGCGTTGCCAAATGCATCACCAGTTATCTTTTCCTAGGGATTCTATCAAAGCAGCTCTTTAGGATGCACCAATAGCAGCTTCAGTTTGACCAGCTAATGTGGTCAAATGTGTGTGATAGTGAAACAATGTTTATTTCACTAGCAGAGGAGCAATTTATACAGTAATCCCTCATCATATGAGTTCCTCAAAAACCGCTCATAAAGTGAAAGCTTGCATAATGGAAATTAAATTCCCATTCCTTCCCTTGTTATAATTTCTGATTGGTTCCAGAATTCAAAAACGTTCCCTCAAACACCAAACCTTCACCTTCATACAGCACAGAACAGTTCCTAAGAATGAAAACAATAACATTCCTGGTTAATTAACAGAAGTGAGCGAATGCATAAACATCAGGTGCTATCCTGTACTATATGAGCTTTTATCATAAAAAAGTTAAAATATAATAAAAGATAAAGAGAGAGTAAATTCCTTCATTTCTTGAAAAAGAACCTGACAAAACCTGATATCCGAGAAATTGAGAGAAAATCTGAACCTCCTATAAGAGAAGCCAGCTTGTAAGAGTGAAAATAAAACAAAACAGTAGGAATTACTATATCTCTTATAACCGAAAACTCTTACAGAGGCAGCTTGTATAGGGAGGGATTATTGTAGTTGTATGACATCAGAAATTTGCTTCAATGATAAAAATTTGCTAATGGTAAAGTGTTCAGGGGCAATAACAAATCACGTTTATTAGAAATAATTCTAACAAATGTTCCTGTAAAAACATACATAACCAAGGTATAACCGATAAAATCAGTGCTGACTATTCAAGGCAAGATGACTTCTGTCCTGCATAAAATGAAAAGGAACCCGACAAAACTCAACATTTGAGAGAAACGATAAATCACCTCTGTAAGAGCCCAGCTTACATGGGGAATGGGGAGGAGAAATTTTGTGTGAGAAATACTGAGAGGCCTTTAAGTTTTCTAATCCAATGAGCAGTTCCCATCAGGAGGGAGTCAAAAACTTACCTGGAACAAGGGCATTTAAGTATTCAAACCACTGGCGCACTGTCGAGTCCCCATATAGGTAAATAACCTTCCGTTTCAGGCACTGTGTGACTGAAAGGGCATCGTTGAACTGGCGCACAGCTCTTCCTCCTGTGGGCTTCCACACATCTTGGTAATAGAATCCAGAGGGCATGAATGTCAGGCCATCTGGGTTAGTCTTCTTCCCTCTGTCAGAATGACCTAAATGGAAACCCACACACACACACAAATAAAAACTAAACTCCATTCCAAGTCAACAATACGTTTCTTCTGCTTGTTTTCACGTGTCCCCTTCTCTCCCTCTTTGAGCACTTGATGATTTAATGCTGCACTCACATACCCAGGAAGAAGGGTGCTGTGTTTATGATTAGAAAACATTTGACCATTAGACATGCATACACTGAATGATTTTACCATTTCAAATTTGCCTAATTTTGTATGAAATAAAACACAATCTTGATACCTTTGTCTAAATTTCAATCACACTCCACAAAAGACAGTCACACTCTTTCTTTGCATAGTCACAGCCCAATATACAGTATACCCTGATCATGTACAGTATTTTTTCACACGGAACACTATTTTCCACTACATGATGCCATCTTGTATATCTGATATTTTTCTGGGCTCTGAAATGCAAAGTTTTGAACTTTTTTTCATTTTTGTAGCTTCGTCATAAACTATGTACTTCATAAAAATTACCTAAAACTTGGAATGCTTAGAATATTTGGAAGTATAAAACATAATCTTGAACAAAAGATGCAGAAGGTCTGACTTGAGAGAATGAAACGCCTGTGTGTTGAATTGGGATAAAGCTTGCAGGGCTCGTAAAGTATTCACAGGAATACTTCAAAACTCTTTACTTCCTGCAACATTGTTGTTTAACAGATTTTTATTAAAAGATGCCCATGTATGCGCTCTCTAAATTTTCGAATGTACGACATATGAATAGTTACAAATAGAAGGATCTCATCCAGCTGTTTCTCGGAAAATCCCAGGGTTTCAGCTTCCATACCGTGGCTGGGTAGCTTGTTCTATATTCCCACACCACTTTATGTTAAGAAGTTCCTCTTTCTTTCCAACATTTCATTTCAGTTCTTTGCTTGGAATGAAGAGAATATTCAAAGATGAAAACAAAACAACAGATGTTATTTACCATTTTTTTCCTGGAGCTTCACTGTCACATGATCTGCACCAGAAGCCAGTATGGGAACTTTGATGTTTACATTACTGAAAAATAAAAGAGAGTCCTGTTGCGTTCATTTCCCGACGTGAACCGAAAGATCAATGTAACAGCTGGCCTCTGCAAAGTCCCCTTTTCTATTTTGAATGCTTAACGGGTCATTCAAAGAGAAACAGATAATTCCATATCTTAGGCACTAGGCTGTGGAAAAGTAACCCTCAGCCAGTGCATTTTCACAAGCGAAAGAACAAAACATGTACCAGACAGCCGAGTCCAGATCTCACCCAAAATCAAAACCCTTTCCTTCTGTCTTCAGCTGGAGGACACACTAACATTCATCCCTCTTCTGTGTGGACACATGCGTCCACAAAGCAGCAGCGGCCCCCAAGAGGTGACCTGCGGATACCGAGAGAAGGGAATGCTGTTACCTCTGGAAAAGCAGCCCCTCTTTGGCAGTAAGCAGGTGCTTCTGATAGCCCCCCTTTGCATGGTTGACCCGGCTGTCGCAGCTCAGCAGCTTCGGCTTGTAGCAGAACCAGGGCTCTCCCGTGTGGGGGTCCGTGTAGTTGCAGAGGGGCTGGCTGGCGGGCAGACACAGGTTGCACAAGGTGGTCTCGGAGAAGTAGCCAGTGCGGAAGAGGCTCTTGAAGTACACCCGGTCGGGCCGCTCCTGGCGGAGCCTCTTCAGCACCTGGACGGCCTCGCTGGGGTGCACCAGCGTCACCGACACCGTCAGCTCCCCTGGCCACAGCAAGGCAAAGAACACCGAGTAGAAGCCATTCTGGTGGTCCACCACCTTCCCAGCAGCCCCCGCTTTGAGCTCCGGGGAGTGAATCCGGGCCAGCAGGAAGTCTCCGCCGTACTGCTTGGGCTGCCCCTGGAAGTCCTGCATGTGGACCAGCACCTCCAGCTGGCCACCCACTCGGAGGTCCTCACTGGGATTGAGGATGACGAAGAAGCTGTGTGCTGGGTCGGTGCTCTGCTGGAAGGACGGAGTCTGCACTGGCGGCTCTGGCCAGGCAATCAGGTCCAATAAGTACTGCTCCTCCAGGACCTCCTCCGGACTCAGCTCGAGCTCCGAGTAGCCACAGTACGAGTCTTTGTTGACCGCGACAGGTCCCACGGGCTTGAAGGCTGTGCTGATGGTGTCCTGGATCCGACAGAGCGCCGTTCTAGTGTTGCAATCAAATTTCTGTGCAAGAAGAGGGTTTAACCGTCAGGCCGGATGTCAACTTTCGCTGCTTTCGGCGATCGGGCTTTTACCAGCAGCAGCGCTTTTCTAATTAGTGATCGCCCGGGACTCCATGAAAAGTGAGCGATTTTATGAAATCAATAATTCCTTGAAGTGAAAAACGTGCCGCGTGGTGAATGTGCTTGGAATAGGCGCTGCAGGAGCCACGAGCCTGCGGAACGCTACAGTAAAAACTTACATTAAAAACTAAGAACGCAGTCCTTTCAGAAATTATAAATCATATGTGCAGATAATTATTCTCACTTTATCAGTTGAACAAATTCCTACTATATCATTGTTCCATGACAATGTATACAAAAACCAATTAAAAATACAAGTAGTATTTGTCTACTGACATAAAACCAGCAGTTTCCAGCTCCAAACAAATCTTCCAGCTACAACAGGAACCTACATATTGAATGGCAATGTATATTATTACCTTTCCAAATCCAAATGACTTCTAAATCTCCAGAACCTTCAATTTCCATTTGTAGAAACCGACAGTATTGACCATTACTGAGTGCGGTCTGATGTTCATTTTGCCACACAGCGACATTTTGGGAAAAAGCAGTGTCAGCTCCCTTGTAGCACACATCGCTGCAGCTGCCCAGAGAGCCTCTGTGGAGACGCGCACTCACAGGCCAAGGGATCGCCCATCCCGCCCCACTCACCTCCAAGGTGAAGATGTTCCTCAGCAGGAAGACGAGACCAGTGAAGGCCAGGAACAGAAAGAGAGGCGTGAACCGGGACAGATTCGTCCACATGGTCACGCAGCGCCTTCCCCGGCCACTGTCCAGCTCGATAGCGCGGCCTCGCACTCACTGCTCCTCCCGGCGCATCAGCGTCACTCCCACGGGGCAGAGAGATCAGTCAGGAGAGAGACCTGCACCGCTCGCCCTCCACGAAAAACAATGAGTAAAATGAGATGAAGATTTAATGGCCTCCCACTCAGTCAAGAGGTGTGGTAAGGTGCTAATATATTATAAGCCACAAGAGACTGAAAACCATCCCTGACTGATTTCCTGAAACTTATTTCAACTTACTTGAAGGTAGTGTCCAGCTGCTCGTCTGGATAGTTTCATCTTCAGCCACAGCTGGAGCTCCCAGTTGGAACGAGAGTCTGTGAACACACACCCGTGCAAAAATCCCTACGTTTTCAGTAACGGTAAGGAGCTGGCGGAGCCAAAGACGGTGGAAAGACTGCCCCGACCTGATCCTTGTACTCATAAAAACTACAGTCTGCTTAAGAGCTGTGCCTGCTAGAGCACCACAATTCACACTCAACCACGTCACAGATCACAGATCACACATCAGAGATCAGAGATCAGAGATCAGAGATCAGAGATCAGAGATCAGTCCCAGTGTGTGAGATCTTGCTCTTTGATCTGTGCTTGATCTTTGAGCTGAGCTTTAAATGAGAGCTTATCTCTATTAAAATAACTATCGAGTGGTATTAAATGCAACTTATTTTTGTATAGATGACACTTTCCTAAAATGTATTTAAAAATAAAAACGATTACAACTGGCACGCCTGTAGCTCTTTCAAGAAACCTCCTAGGGTTACGAAAACACTTGCTGTGTGTACGAAGTACATTGTGACTGTTTTTACAGCCTTTACTATGCCGTTTCTAGGCCATTTTTTTTACCACGCTCGAATATTTTTCTGTCCATATCTTTGGAAGGGAAGTACAGAAAGCCTTTAAACCAAATGCATTTTAAAGACCACGACTTGTGAAAATTTTCACAGCCTCCACATAAAACTATCAGTGAGCTAATTCTCTTTTTTTAAACCTCCAGTTCTTCATCGATTTGACTAGCTATTCAGGGGGAAAGGCAGTGACGTCACTGTGCTGGCAAGCATGCATTTTAGATAACGCGATTCCATATTATATTCCCTATTAATCAAATTCTAATCAAATTTGTTTACTCCGATAGCGAGAAGAAAAGTTTAAAATATCACTTTTCTCACAAAGTATATAAGTATTTCTTTTTACTCTCTGAAGTTGGAGATTTTACATTGCCTGTGAAACACAATGGTTAAAACTCCAAAACTCCAAACTGTGCAAGAGATTAAAGCAATTAAAGAATTCAACTTAATCCTATTATCAGGTTAATTAAGGGTTCAACTGTGTAACTGACAAACCAGCTGGAACCAAGACCAATTTCCTGCTTTAGACAATTCACACTAGACCCAGATGATACTAATGGTGATGATATGAGACTCGTACCCCTGAAATGCTAATTACAATACCTATGTTATTAACAATCATCTGGCACCAGGAAATTCCATAATGAAATTAGACCGGTCTGGGAGGGAGATAAAAAAATGGTTCTGTCTCTAGTAAATAAACAAATGTGAAAAATTGACTGTGGAGTGAATGGCTTATTTCAAGTATCTAAAATCCTCAAGGGTCCTGACCGCCTACAGCATACTGTACGGATCTCAGGACACCAATCACAAGACCAGTGGAATCCAAGGGAAAAGCATGCAGGCTCTATTTAAAGAGGAACTGCACTTCCAATTTCTCAGGCAGTGATTCAGTCTCGATGACAAAATAAATTAATTGACAATACAGAATCATTTTACAAACGGCAAATTAAGCACGAAATCATGAACTTCGTGAAAGTACTGTAAGTCGCCATGTTGTCGCAAGCTCACATTCGAGTTCCCATGAATTGCGCCGAGATGTGGCTCTTCCTGCTCACTAGTCTCCATAATGACTGATGTAATGTCGTGTGCAAGAGAATAAGTGCAGGTTGTTTACCGCAGAAATGTTCCAACGTGATCTGCATGCAGAGTCAACACGTAAGTACTATTTGTTTGCAAAACCGTCGCGAGATCGAAATCAATATTTCTATTGGATTGAGAGATGTATTCACAAGCCTGTTTGTTTACAATGTCATATGGCTGCAACATATCACCAGAAGCTGCGTTTCCTCATTCTGAATCACAGAACATGGCGCTGTGCACACCTTTGTCAATTTTGTGATGTCAATTGGAGGTTTTACATGTTACTGTGCACATTTGACTTTTATTGTGGTGTGATATGCACTCGTCAACGCTGAGTCTTTCTCACCTCAAATATAAAAATAGCCTTGCAGTTCCTCTTTAACACTGGAACAAGACACCCTTTCACATTGCTGAAGCCAGACAATCTGGCTTCCTTCGAGAAGCAGCTGGGATAATTCTGCTCCCCCGCAAAGCAGCACAATGTTATTGTTTCCTTTAAAAAAAATCATCAGTGTACCAACTAGTTTAATATTATTGAGGTGCTGGCCAATACACCAACCTTATCATTGGATAAATGATCTGTAAATAATACATACATGGCAATACACGTCATGTCATTTACCAAACCACTTTATACCCTAAGGTGTCGCGGGAGGCCAGAGCCTACCTGGCAAGCAACGAGCGCAAGGCAGGGTACACCCTGGACAGGACGCCAGTCCATCCCAGGGCCAGTGCAAGCCAGTCATACATGGGGACAGTTTGGAGGCCACGGTAAAGGCCGAGGGGAGAAATTTGGCCCGGACACTGGGATAAGTCCCTACTCTTCTTGACAAACGCCCGGGGATCTTTAATGACCACTGAGAGTCAGGACCTCGGTTTAACGTCTCATCCAAAAGACAGTGCCCACTTAGGAGAGGTAACCAACACAAACATAGTGAGAACATACTGTACCAACTCCACACAGACAGCATTCCAGGAACCGAACCTAGCAGCAATATTAACCAGTGCACCACTGCATATACATGATAATATAATGCATAAATGAAACCGCCTCCAATCTACCCTTGCAAAATCATTTATTTTGTAAAGTGTACATTGATATTATTTCAAATATGCATAGGTTTGGAGATTGGTTTGTTTTTATTTACAGGTTATATAAATAATACATCGCCGAGTTTAAAATTTACCATAGAATATGGTCAACGTGAGACACGTTTTCTTAGCTTAGTTAACGTTGATTGTAAATCTGAGACACTATTTTTTTCGTTACCTTAAAGATTGGAAGATGTTTCTTCTTCCTAAGACCACCAGTAATTTCATTCAGATCATATATCAAAAAGACAGAAGCAGTTTCACTGCTTTTAGTCGCGTTAAAACAGTATATCTGAAAAGAGAGTTTAAAAGGCTTAATTTTTTTAACTTTACTTATAACACAAACCATGTAATTTAACATGAAATAATATTTAAATACTAAAAGGGTAAACATTAATTAGGGATCTTTTGCTCAGATAGATTACTATTAAACCAAGCCCTTACCAGGAATCAGAGACTGAGAACGGCGGGTGCACGAACTTATTATCTTATAATAAAATATAATCTTTTTAAACCCATTAGCTCAACGTTGGTGCGCTGGGCACTAAATTGTAAAATTAAAAATTGCAAACATCAAAACATGCACCAAACAATATGGGTATGTATGTCATACACACTGATAGCAGGAGACTGCATTATGTTCATGATAAATATCAAAACACTGCAACGGTCATGTTGATATCAAGTCACACGAGGTTCTGCTGTTTCTTGCAAATCAGAACGTTGATGATGCAGAAAATCGGCAAAGGAGGAAGATAGATCGCCTATATTTTAACGCGAAATGCGTTTTAGTTGCTTTCGAAACTTGGACACACGAATGGCAAATTGTGCGTCTGCTGTTAGTCTCGGAAAAGAATAATTTATTTCGCCAATGCAATGCTAAATAAAAACAAGAAATGCGCCATTCAGTTTCATAGTTTCGTTTTATAAAGGTATTCGCAGCGGGGGAAAAATCATGCTTTATTAACAGACTAACGACAGCTTCCTTGGTATGCACAACTAGAAGCCTAGCAAGTGAAATATTAGAAAACTTACATGAAAGACGTACAAAAAATACTCACGTCCCCTCTAAAAAAAGCAAATCCGAGTCCGGTGGTGTGGTTCAAGCACTTGCGCTTTACACTATACTCACGCCTTTTGCAAAACATTTGATTCTGAAGAAAACCGTCCACGGGGGCGTGCTAAACGCTTCGTGCATCAATACATTTCAATGAGCAGGAAAGCCCTGCCAGAACTGCATCCTCTCCTCTGGGCTAGACGACAATCGCTGTCTTCGAGAATCGGCTAACCGAGCCTTAAAACTGCTGTGTTGCGCTACTATACCCAGAGATTGCAGGTATTTTGCGTCATTTTGTTGCACAGTCCTCGTCTTCCGTTGTGTCATTCACGTGCCCCCTCCACACAGGAAACATATTGGCCGACATTAGACTATTTTAAAATGAGCAATGTTTTTCATTGTATTTTACTCATCATTACTACTAAAAATATGAATAGCATATCCACATCCATATTTAGTTTCAATAAACGCACCAGCGCTATAAATCGTTTTTTAATGCTGTTGCAATACTCTTTGTATTGTCTTGGGAAAACATTTTATTGCTTACCACTGAAGTGACCGCTTTTCTGGACACTCCACTCAAAGTGCTTTACAGGTAATGGGGACTCCCCTCCACCATCACCAATGTTGGTTTTACGCCTCATCTGAAGGACGACGCCTTTTTACAGTACAGTGTCCCCCTCACTATACAGGGGCATTAGGACCCACGCGGACCACAGGATGAGCACCCCCTACTGGCCCCAGTTACACTTTTCCAGGAGGTCTCCAATCCAGGTACTGACCAGGCTCACACCTGCTGAACTTCAGTGGGTCGTCAGCGGTGAGCTGCAGGGTGGTACAGCTGTTGGCCTGTAGTTCCTTTACTGTTTTACCAAGACTGGAAAAACCCCTTGCCTGTGTGCTCGGCCCTGAGTCAAGGACTGCTACTGGAGGGCAGAGGAGAGGACCCGAGGGGCAGGGCTGTAGGAGGGGACTACTACATGCAAGAGAGAGGAGCCCATTGCCCTCCCAGCGGGATCAGAGCACTTCATAAGACTCTCAGCAGGATAAGTACTGCACCGCTGACAGAGTTCTTACAGTAGATCTGTCTAGCCAAGGCTGGGGAGTTTCCACGGAGCCAGGGGTGTGGAAAACGGGGCCACAGAAGTGACAGCACGAGGGAGGGGCCAATGAGCCACCCTGATTTCTGTGCTATGGCCTCTGGCCTCTATCCACTCCCCACAATGGAGCAGGCACAGGAACACACCAGCAGAAGCAGCAGGAAACGCGCCCAATGGGAAGACTGCTGTCAGCAGAACAGAAGGGCCTTTCTAACACCGAGCACCTCTTCGGTCCTGGCCGGGCACAGAAATCCCATTCCACATCCTGTCTGGCATCACAGGAAAACGACATGAAACATCCAGCGCAGGCTCGGATCTGAAAAGGCTCGCCTGGGTTGAGGGGGAAGATGCTCTCTGATCACACAGAACAAGAAAAGATTTCAACAACCAAAGACTTCAGCAATCAAAGCCAAAAGATCGAGGCCCTGATTCCTTATTTCAAAATTAAAAACTCACCCGTGGGGTCTTGTGACAAGTTCAACGTAAAGGTTACCTGCCCTCTATGATTGTGGGTTTGAGCCTTAATCATGTCAATACCGCAGATGGGGACTCCCAAGTGGTGGCACACATGCCAGTGCTTCCCATATTAATACAATTACAATCAATATCAACATCGAGTTTCTAAAAAGCCTGCACTTCATTGCCTGCAAAATAGTTAAAAGCTTTTCCCCACATTTCGCACAAAATTAGACTAGTACTCTGAATTTTCAGTATTCATTTTACAACAATATACTGGGCCTCTTTAAAATGCCATTAACAGTCATTTACTTTTCACTACATCCCAATCTATCAAAATCTATTTCCTGTAGGCATAGGAAATAGTTTTTAATCATTAACAATAAGTATTTTAAAAACGTATGTATTTTATTTTCTGCTGTTGTTGTACACTGCATATAGTACATCTGTTCTAAAAAAATCATGTTGTCAACAACTGCTGTAGCTGAAGTACGAAACCATAATGTTTCTGTACAATTGTGAAATGGCACGACTGAAATGCAAGTTAAGAGGGGCTCTGGGTTTAATGACCAGTTTCTGCTGTAAACATGAAATAAAGAAACATGCAACTGTGGTAAGTGAAAAGCGCTCACCTTCTTTAAGAATTATTTTGAATATTTTAACTGTGGAACAAGCCAAAGCCACATTTAAAGGATGTACTGTGACAAAACACAAACACCCCAAATATGCAACACTAATTATGCACAAAAAACAAAAAAAATCAGTAAAAGGTTTCCTTTTTAAAACATGAACAGCTGTATTAATACACAATTTAAGCAAATAAATGTATTTGTTTATGCTTGGGATAATTCACAAGAACATCCAGCAAAGAATCAATCATCTGTTTGCGTAACAGAAATGTAAATCTCTATTTGGGTATATAATGTTATGATGAATTGTCCAAGCTAATGTTCTCAGACCTTCAAAGATTTGTTGCAAGTTTGTAATGTGTGTTGTTATTGTGGCAATTGGAAAAAGAAGTTTCAAAACTTTACATAAAAAACATTCATAAATACACAGAAAATAAATGTACATATTTTATTTACAAAACATTGTTCTATTTATAAGTTTGAACTTCTTAAGTGCTACAGAGACTTGCGTCCATATGGACCTTGCATGCTTAATTAATCTGAGCATTAAAAAAAGAAAGCCACACAGCTAACATTTACTTCATGTGGCTGACTTAATGGAGGAACTAAAGCTTTAAAATACTTCCTTCCATTGAATGTACTATGCATTTCTCCAAAACAGTTCTGCCTTTGTAATAGTTTAACTTGGCATCCACTGATCTCACTTCTGACAGCCTGTAAATGAAGGAGAAAATGTTTGCTTTCACTAAATGGTCATAAAACAGGCCCTATAAATCTTTATTGTAGGAACATTACTCATTCTGTGCAAGGCTACATTCTATAGTAAGCTGTACTTTGCCCTTCTTCTTTCCAAAAAAGGTTCCCAGTAATATTTAAGACAATTAACATAGCAGTGCATGGTTCCAAAATGTACTTTAACAGTCAGATGAAGAATTATGAGCAGAAACAGTTTTCTTAATCCTGTATATTTACCATGCATTAGCTATATTTTACTATGTAAATATGTTACTGAGTTTTATTTTTATATATAACATAACAGTCATGAATTACTCAACAACAGGTTAAAGGCTTTACAATATGGTAAAGCAGAGAAATGCTCAAGTCATTCATCATTGATCTTTGGAAACTGCAGTTGGAACTCGAGGGTTTTCCTCATATCGTCAGTCACCAATGAAAAAAACTAAGGGCTTATTTTAAATATAAGATCCTCAAAGTATGTCTGTATATAACTAGCTGCTACTGAATTTCAATTACCAATGAAACCTTTTCAGTAAGAACTAACAAGCCATCACCAGCGGAATGCAAACAGTTTGAATGCCAGCTGGAAAACAGGTATCTCTAATTAAGCCACTGAGACATCTGCGCATTGAGAGTTCATGTGAAGTCCAGCTCAGCTAGTCCTGTCAGTGAAAACCCAACTGTGCACTGCCACTGTTGCATCCTAATGGCAGTCATGGGTTCACATCAGCAATATCCAAGTGCTAGAATTCAGTATTATTCATATACTTCTCAGCATTTTAGTAAAGGGGACACCATTTCAAACTATTTAAGGTTAGGTGGGTGCACAATTTACATTTCCTACAAATAAAAGCTGGCAAATAAATTTGAGAATGATACAAAATGCAGCAATTCACAATAACTGACAACCAATACTAAATGGTACTGTGTGCTTAATGTTGTAAAGTTACATTATTCCAATTTCCCAAAGCCTCACATTCAGGATTTTGAACACAAAAAGTAAAATAATGGAGGCGGGGTATTTGAATGTCAAGGGATTCTTAATAACACGAAAATGAAATCACATTCATTATTAATCGGCACAGCATCAGCATAATCATGCAAGATTCATTTACTGACTGTATTAGGATCTGAAAGAATTGTTGATTTTGAACACACATAAAAGAACCTCAAGGAAATAATTCTGCTATTTCTGGCTTTTAAAAATAAAAAACACTATTGGGAAACATCCATGGATTTTATTTACTCAAAGGCCCCAGGGCATAAATGTTCAAATGATGAGTCTGTGAAAGTTTGACCAATAAGTGTTTCTGTAAGAAAAGAAGGATGTTTGGAAAACTCTGAGGAAATACTGCTACGGTTAATGAAGGAGCAAAGTAACGAGAGATAAACAAGGAAAAGCGTGTAAAAGGTACCAGGCAGGATAGATAGGTACCCAGGTTATCATGCCGATCAGTAATGTCCACACCGCACTTCAGATCAACAGTCTGTGAGCTGGCGCCGAGAGACACGTCAGCTTCCTGGTGTGAGGAGAGACCAACGTGGTGCGCTAGCACTCCAAAAAGTGGTCGTGTCTACTCCCCAACTCCCCCGCTCCGTCACACTCCCACTCCCAGGAGCAGGGCCTGCCTCTCAGGTTCCCCTTCTCTCTCCAGGTGGGGAACTTCATCTGTTTCGAAGGCAGGGGGGGTCTCTTCGGGAGCTGGAGGCAGAGGACAGCTCCTCTCTTGGGCTGTCAGGGGGATAGGGCTGTCTGTCCTCTTCCCTGCCTCCTCCTCCTCCTCCTCCTCCTCAGCTTCCTCCAGCTGCCGGACCGAGGTGAGGTACTGCTGTAGGAGGCTGCTGTCCTGCTCGCTGCGAGAGCTGTCCCGGCTACCCGCGTCGGCGACGTCCTTCTTCCCATCAGCCACGGGGCGCACCGTCTCCAGGGTGTCCCCCGTGGCCGAGCTCGAGCTGTCGTCCATGGCGCTGTGGCTGGTGGCCAGAGCTCCCCGCGGCTCACCCGAAGAATGGAAGCCCGAGTCGGGGAAGGAGCGCTCACAGCAGCGGGCAGCGGGACTGTCCGCGTTGGGAGCCAAGGAGTCCTGGGACGGAGACTCACACAGACTGGAGGAAGCCAGCCCAAATGCGGTGCTGGACACAGGGGCTCCGAGCTGGGAGAAGGTCTGGAGCTGCTGGTTGACAGACTGCTGCCACAACTGGAAGGTCTGAAGCTTTAAGGAGAAATACAGAATAAAGTGTTTGGGCATTATGTTCTTCAAAAAGGGCTTCTGTGGTTGAGTTTATTTTTTTTTTTTAATGAGACTTTATACAACAATGCACTAGTTAATTACAATTTCATGTGCTTTCTTCAAGGAATTTCTCTAGTAAAGAATGGCGACAAATTAGAAGAGGCCATTCGGGCCCTCAGTTGTTTTTTCAGCAGCTAAGGGACTGATTCGAGGATCTCATCTAGACGTGTTTTAAAGGATGCCAGCGTATAGACTGGCAGGGCCACTTGTTCCATACTATGCCAAAATATTGTCTAAAGAAGCATCTCCTGTTTTCAGTCATACATGCACTTCAGCCTAGTTTTTCCATTACTTTTCTTTCATAAACTATAAATCTGTTGCTTTGCACTTACTTGTTTCCATAGGAATTTGACAGCTTCTTCTTGCACGAGCCTCTGGATTCTCTCCTCCTCCCGCTCTTTTCTTAACCTGAAAGAAGAAACAGAACCTGCTATCAGAACTGGTGTGATGACAGTATCATCCCCGTGAGAGAAAATATCAGACTCCGTTCCCTTGCACAAATGTCCAAATGATTATGTACATCCATCATTCATTGTTATAGTGAAGTGCCTTTATTCTTTTAGCTTTAAAAAGGAAACAGGAAAAAAGTACTCTTTTGAGTCTCCTGAGTAATAAGGTTCAGATATATGGACAGAGATCTCATGTGGGCAGTGATCCTAAGCAGGAGCTTTAATGATTCAGACTGGAAAAGACATTAGATGAAAAAAAGAAAGACCACATATTCTAATGCACATATAATACCTATTCCTATGTATTTACAGTACCTTGAAAAAATATTAAGATCCCTCCTAAGGTATTCCATTTTATGAAATTAGAAAATGATGCATTTTTTTTCAAACTTAATATCCTCTTCATGTATTAGCATTGCTGCCTTACACCGATGGGGCCCTGGGTTCAATTCTGGACCTGGGGTGATCTTACCCCAGCGGAGTTCGTATGGTCACAGAGGAGCCGGAGCTTATCCTGGCAAGCAACGGGCGCACCCTGGACAGGACACCAGTCCATCACAGGGCACACACAGACACAAACACGCACACACTCACACCAGGGCCAATTTTCCCAGAAGCCACTTAATTTAACATGTTTTTAGACTGTGGGAGGAAACCAGAGCATCAGGAGGAAACACATGCGAACATGGGTGGCCTTAAAAACTAGTAGATTTTTATGCTATAGCATATAATAAAAAATACAGTATTAAAAAAGTGCATAAGACCTAAATAATTTCAGATAGAATACCCCCGCTTTGAACTTAGAGGTTATTGGAAATGCATGGATGAAGGGGTGTCAATACTGTTTTCTGCAGGTCTACTGATGTTTGCCTTGATACCCCCTTCTAAACTTCCTAAACAGAAGGTCTGGGCTGTGATGTGCGAGCGCCGCCCCTCACCGAGCCAGCTCGTCGGACAGAAACACTATGTGCTCCTGCATTCGGCGGAGGCGGATTTCCGCGCGGACCTCCTTTGCCGCGGGGTGGAAACGCCTGGTCCACAGGCCCCGCCACCACGCCTGGATTTTCACAGCTGCTTCGTCCAAGTCAGGACTCCTCTCCCCGCTGGTCCGGCCCTGCTGCTCCCCGTCTACGGGAGAGCAGTCAGAACACTCCTCGAAGGCATGCACCTGGTCCAGGTGCTGGCAGCCTGACTGAAGGCAGTCGGCGGTGCACGCGAGGAAGCCCATGCTGGGCATGTGTGAGTCGGGTAGCCCCGCTGCGGCCGCCCCCTGCCCCTTTGCCACCAGCTGCTCCTCCCGCGTGTCGCTGCAGCTGGTCAAGTTCAGGGCGGGCTCCTCCACGCTCTCGAGCTGGAGCTGACGGGTGGGGGACAGGGGAAACATGCCAGATGCGACGGGCATGAAGGTGGACTCGGAGCACAGGAGGCTGCAGTTGAGCTTGTCCTCGTCCGTCTGCACGTCCTCCAGGAAGAGGGGCTCGCCGTCCGCGGCAGGCGGGCGCGTGACGGGATCGGCAGCATAGGAGTGGTCCGAGGAGACGCTCCGGCCCAGCCAGGTGTTGACCTGCGTGATGGGTTCTGAGCCACAACAGGAAATGTATATCAAAGGACTTTCTTATTTTGTACGTTTGGGTCAAGTCACATTTTTTTACAAATAAAACTACATGCCCTTTCATTTCTCTAATTGTTACCCAATTTAGAAACGCTCATTTCCAGGGAACCTTTTTGAACCTAATCCAAAAAAACATCATTACAGAAGAAGAATAATATCCTTAACGTTGACGGGAAGCTGGTTAATTACACTGAGATCCAAAGTGAATGAAGGTGGAGACCTATGAATTCTCCTTAAGGGTAACCATTATAATGGATGATAATAAATAATAATAAGAATAATTGCTTACACTTATATAGCGCTTTTCTGGACACTCCACTCAAAGCGCTTTACAGGTAATGGGGGCGCCCCTTGACCACCACCAGTGTGCAGCCCCACCTGGATGATGCGACGGCAGCCATAGTGCGCCAGAACGCTCACCACACATCAGATATCAGTGGGGAGGAGAGCAGAGTAATGTAGCCAATTCATAGAGGGGGATTATTAGGAGGCCATGATTGGTAAGGGCCAATTGGAAATTTGGCCAGGACGCCTGGGTTACACCCCTACTCTTTTCGAGAAAAGCCCTGGGATTTTTAATGGCCACAGAGAGTCAGGACCTCGGTTTTACGTCTCATCCGAAGGACGGCACCTGTTTACAGTATAGTGTCCCCGTCACTATACTGGGGCATTAGGACCCACATGGACCGCAGGGTGAGCGCCCCCTGCTGGCCCCACTAACACCTCTTCCAGCAGCAACCTTAGTTTTTCCCAGGAGGTCTCCCATCCAGGTACTGACCAGGCTCACACCTGCTGAGCTTCAGTGGGTTGCCAGTTGTGAGTTGCAGGGTGATAAGGCTGGATGACAGCAGTTTCATTGCACTACCTCAGACATTACCACAGCTAATGTGTGTCCCACCTCTCTCCTCCGACCCCCCTGGTGTGTAAATGGGGCTCTGCTCCACCTCAAGATAAGAGGGTCGGCTCAGTGTGGATGATGAGAAGGGCCCTCCTTTCACAGTCTGCTGGAGGAGCTGTTTTTGATGAAGCCTGGAGATGTGCAAATTCACAGATGATTCACAGATGTCAGCTAAATGACACAGAGTGTTTGCCTCTAATATGTCTTTATATATCTTTTGCCTCTAAATGACATTTGGACCTAAATAAGTGAAATTTATTTTTAGATTTCTAATTTCAGTTTTATTTGCACCATTATGGAACAAGTGCCTTAAAAAGCCTCCGAGAAGAAATTTCTCTTTACTTGAGCAGCGTGGGGATTCTCATGGCACAGATTTCCCACAAGTGAGAAATGTGATAAAACTGCACTAAACTGTACATGGTCCTACCTCTGCTTGTTCAGTATCTTCTCCAGCTTGGCATCTTCTGCAGACTGCAATGCTGGGGTGCAGGTGAGAGGACAGACGGTTGCCAGGTACTGGACCAGCTGGATGTGCTGTCCGGGGCGGTATGAGCGTCCTTTGCCTTGGCTATAAAGCCACTCTGCTTTCAAACTAGAAAGAACAACACAGAAGATATGACCAATACCTGAGCAACATACTGTACGGCAGGTCTCTCCTGCTCGAGAAACCTGGAGGTATGGGTTGGACATTTCAGGATAAGAATTTGAGACACATGAAATTTTGCATACCACAGAATGCTTACATAGTGAAAAAGAGATGATAATATCATGAATGTAATGAAAAAGTATAGCATAAACCTGTACATGTACATTATACCATAATAAACTACAAAACATGATCCCACAACAAACCAGAAATGTCATGCATTAAAACAAATGTTGAGCTCAGACAGCTCACCTCTTACTGATTGAAAACTGATCAGGATTTTGTGCTATATCTTGAGTACTCACCCCTCCTTCTGAGACACCACATAACCATCCAGAATCTTAAGACTGAGACACCAGCTAACTATATATGGCCGGTAGTCAAAGCCAGGCAGAGACGGTGTTGCCATGACACAGGGGTTACTCATGATGGATAGCTGCTCCAGTTCAGGGAGGGGAGCCAGGTAAGACACCTGCAATTATTTGAAACAACTATGTGTCTTTCAGATTCAACCACATAGGAAAGACCAGTCCTGGAGTTAAAATACAATATCAAAGTCATGCTTCACATTGCATGTTTCACTCTGTAACGTACTGTACATATGTAATATTTAATGTAGGTCTTTATTTAGAAATCAAATACTAAAGCTGCTTATATAATCTAACAAATATTGTTTGGTCAAAATCATTTAAAATATAAAATAATACTAGTCTTTATCGAAAGGGATGAAGTCTTTATATTTTCTCTCTTGAAAATGATTAAGCTTTCTCTTCTCCACACTTGGCTGTTTTGTTACAACTGGTTACAATGTATAGCAACACTGCTTAAGAACAAAACAATAATAATAAAAAGTACTGTACGAAGCAATCAGGACCATCACCTTTCTACAGTCACTGTCCCCTAACAGCATCCTGGCCATTAACAATTACACACTGGTGAGACCTCTCAATTTTTAATGCTCTTCACTCCACTCCCCCCTGTCTCATGTAAGTTGGATATACTGTATGCAAATCAGCCTGCACTCTGATCACAACATACATTTTGAGACCGAAAGAGCATACTTAAATATATTTACAATTAATCTTGTTGTAAGTCCTGAAACAAGCAAGGCCATGATACTAACTCAAAGAACATGACGTTACCTCATTGAGGTCTCGAATTTCATTCTCTGCCAGGGACAGGATGGTCAGTCCTGAAGGCAAGTGAGCTGGTACAGTCCGCAGAGTAGTTATCATATTTCCATGAAGGAGGAGAGTCTATATAAAGGCACATGGCTCGTTAAATCAACCCTCTGAAACACCACACATGACAAGTTTAAAAATATGAACAGCGCATTACAGTCCTCCAGAGTGTTTAAAGGTTTCACTGCCACCCTGGCCATCTCTAATGATTCAGAAAAAAGGCAAATGTATCAATCACAGCTTCTCACGGTGTCAAAAAGCTGGCTGGCACTAATGATATCATCAGTACCAATCAGTAAAGCTTGTTGAACTAAATGTGGGGAGACTGCTATCCCCACATTACCAAAAAAAAAAATTTCTAAATAAGAAAAGGTCCTAATCTTTCTTCAGCTAAGTGACAGCTCCCTTCTCCACAAGTACAGAATCAGGAGCTGCCATGTACAAAAGCTATAATGAAGCTATGGTCCGAGCAGCTCAACGCATAAAAGGCACATGCCTGGAGCACAGGCTGAGCTGTGCCAGTAACTGAACACAGCAGCCCAGAACACGTTTCCAGAGAGGATCCCAATGCAATGACACAGAAATGGCCAAGTGCCAATGGATGGATCTCAGCTTGCCAGGGAAGCGCCTGTGAGTGTCCAGTGTTACCCAGGATAACTCTGCTGTCCAAACTCAAGAGCTTGCAGAGTAAACAAGACGCTGATGAGTTTATCCATCCCGTATAAACAAGGTCTCGGTTAGGATTTTACCTTTAAGCTTGAAAGCCTTGAGAGGTCACCGATCTGTGATATATTGTTGTCAGACAAATCCAGATGTTTAAGAGCCACACAGCTGTTCAGCTGCTCAACGACCTGAGGACAAAAAATTGTTGGTGGTGTGAACCATTTAGTGCTACCTTTTGTACTTCCATTGTTTTTCGGTTACAAAATATTTATTTTAAAACAAACTCAACACACAACACTGTGTTGTGGAAGGCATAGTTTTATTCAGCCATGAAGAGAACTTCCCTCTTTTCTGAATAAAATACAATAATTCAAAGTCTTTAACCAATAAATAAGCACATCAACAAACATACCAAAAATAATCAAATGGCAACAGTAATAAACAAAGGGTTTTCTATAATTATTAGTATAAGCATTGATTTTTAAGAACACTTGGATCCACAATGGGTTATAGTGAATGTTCCAAACGTAATGTTAGGATAGCAACTTTTGTCATGGTTTTCCATGCATTTCATTCCAAACACGTCAGTTTTTATTAAAATATTATATTACACGTTTGTGTAATTCTGCTGGACTCTCCATGGTACAGAGAGTAAGTCCACCTGAATTTACCTTGGTCCTGTTCTGGACTTTTGCACCTGTACCATTCACAGCAATGGTTAGATGGACATTTAAAAGTGCAATTATTGAGGATCATTTTCAGTTTTATTATAATTCCTTTTTTTTTTTGTGGCACAACAAAACTACGGCTACAATGACCGTGATTAATACTGTTCTTTGTCTATCAATGAATTCAATAATAGATGAGAACTTACATTAAAAATAACTATTTGTGAAAGACTGAGATTATATTGCAAAATATTGTCTAAGGAAAGAACGGAATGCACCAATGACAGTTCACAAGAGCCTTGAAGCTGAAAAGGTACTGGAATTGTTTTAACTTACCTTGATGTTGTTCCCAGCCAGGTTCAACCATTCCAGGTGTCCAAGATCTTTCAGCCCTTCAATGTAGCCGATGCTGTTGTTAGGCAAGTTCAGCACTCTCAGGTTTACCAGTTTGGATACCCCCATCAAGCGTACCAGACGGTTATTGGCAACAGACAACTGGACAAATGAGGAGAAGTAAAAGAATATTAAAGAGCTGGTTTTGTGTAGCTTTGATTTTGTGAAAGAGATTTATCTCTTAGGGGGTTAGTGAGCAAAATAGCAATGCAGAGTTCTCCAGACCTCCAGGATGAGGCATTGAGAATCAAAGACTCAACTGCTGTGGTGAACTGTACAGTGATCAAGAGAAATGGGACTGCTGGAGAAAATGACAGTCTTGAGATGAGAGTTTGAGTTGAGGTCCAGATTACTTGCTAAATTCCCCCTGGCATTACAGAATCATATCCAATTAAACTTCCCTCTTAATTCAGCAAGTGATTTAATTTCTCACTTCTCCTTAGTGGGCAGTGAAGCTGCAAGCTGATCCACCAACCCATAGATGGGTGCTATGTTTCTGTAGTAGGTAAAGTGGATCCCCTTTTTTATCCCAAAATGTTCTACATGCAACATTCATACATAGGAATTAAAAAATTGTTTTTTTTTTTAACCAATGGCACTGTTTATTAATTTACTGACATACACAGGGCCCCATGCAGCTAAGCTCAAGGAACTCAACAGCGTATCCACTATGCCCATAAAAAAGTTGAGTTGTATGATAAACTACTGTACATCTCTTTCACATTTTCAGCAGACGAGAGCAGCAAAGATCAAAAGAAAATATTTAAGAATAAAAACAAGCTAGATGGGGAGCTTTCGGTTGAGACCTCATGAATACATTAACGAGATGAGATCGGGTTCCAGGTCAGACCTGCAGGAGCTCCTCACACTTCTCCAGGTGCTCGAGCTTTATGATCTGGTTCCGGTCCAGGATGAGAGTGTGGGCACCAGCGGGGCAGGGGAGAGAAGGCTCCAGCCTCTGGATCCCCTGGGCAGAGAGGTCCACCACAGGGCCTGAGCACACAGCGAACACAAGAGGACTGTACTAGGGTGGACAACCCAGACAGGCACATCACAACAGCCAGGAAGATACAGAAGATTCCAAAACAGGAAACAGGTGAAATTACATCGTCAAGGGATAGAATCCCAGACTTATCACAATACATTAGGGTAACCTGATAGCCATCTCGCGGAAACAGTTTTATATTTGCCTAAAATGTCTCAAAGAACAAGCAAAACAAAAAAGAACAGCACAATCCCCTCCCACTCAGTCAGCAGTATTCTATAACAGCTGTAATAACCTGCAACTCACAGCTATCAGACCACAGGAGCTCAGCAGGTGTGAGCCTGGTCAGAACCTGGATGGGAGACCTCCTGGGAAAGCTCAGGTTGCTGCTGGAAGAGGTGTTAGTGGGATCAGCGGGGAGCGCTCATGCTGAGGTCTGTGTGGGTCCTACGCCCCAGTACAGTGATGGGGACACTAGACTGTAAAAAGGCGCCGTCCTTCAGATCAGACATAAAACCGGGGTCCTGACTTTCTGTGGTCACTTAAAATCCTAGGGCATTTCTCAAAAAGAGTAGGGGTGTTATCCTGGTGTCCTGGACAAATTCCCCCCTGGCCTTTACCTATCATGGCCTCCTAATAATCCCCATCTCTGAACTGGCTTCATCACTCCGTTCTCCTCCCCACTGAGAGCTGGTGTGTGGGGAGTGTACTGGCGCACTATAGTGTCGTCACATCATCCAGGATGGGCTGTACATTCTTAGTAGATGGGAGTACCCATTACCTGTAAAGTGCTTTGAGTGGAGTGTCCAGTAAAGCACGATATCAATGTAAGGATTATATTCTCTCCATGCTGCTAACCAAAGGAAGCAGTATTAGACAGCTTCTCACAGAGACACTTGACTGCAAGCATCTAGGAGCTTCATCTGCTACAGTACACTCCAGTCCCCCACTGTCTCCGCTAAAGGACCATGGATGTCAGCACTAACTAGATAACAGGAATTTTGGGGGAAATGTAATGTAATACACTGCCTCTTAAATGTGATTCCTTACTCATAAAAAAAACCAACCAATCCCTTACACGAATAATTTGTAACATTCATGGATTTAAGAGTAACTTTTATCAAGACTGCGCAGGGCCACATCTCATTCGATTTGAATGTGGAATTTCTTTATAAAAGCAGACATTCTATCCCACTATCCCAAAGGAAGAGAAAGAGGAGTCACATAAATGAAAACAATGCAGGCAAGGAGGCATACAGTAGTCATTTTCCAAATCTGGAGACGTGAACTTGACTAGACCCATTTTAAAGGTTTTTTCGTATTCAAATAGTCCGCTGTGATTCCAAGCATTGTTCCAACGGTGTTCAGTATACCAAGCGCTCTGGGCTGTTCTGGTTGAATAACAGAAATAGGGTTTTTATAGACGCAAATATACTCTTATAGACGAACAGAATACCGTCGAGTACCAAATAAAAATGCCCGATGTGGTTGCAATGACTATTATAATAGCATAACTAAATTAATGTTGAAATATATGTACAGATTTAAGATATTTCAGAAGCGGGTAGTACAAAATTGAAAATCATAGCTAGAGTATGCTAGAAGAAAATGTGTAAAACTCGTACTTACCATATTTGTCTAACTTCGGGCTTTCTACTCCCATGTTTCAAATATAGTAACAGTTCTCGTTCAAAGACACTATTCTCGTTAGCTAAACTGCGTTTTCCATATGTTTACAATCTTAAATATAACAGGACACGGCTTTACAGTTAAAACAGAAATCTCCTGACAGTTGTTTGAGAAACAGCCTTGTAAAATTGAATACTTTCACGACTCTTTGTAAACGAAAGGAACACAATAAACCAGCGGCTCCACAGAACTTATTTTAAATGTATGGCTGCATTAATCTAAAGGTTATTTTAATCCAATATCGTATTTCCAAAAGAAACAGGGTGAGCAGCGAAGACTCTCAGCAGTAACGACTACACTTCAGTTCCTACCAACTGTCACCATGACTTTACAAGGCATCGTGGGACCTGTAGTCCCCAACCTCGGGGCTCTTACTCCCAACTCCGGAATTATGAGAACACAAAAAAACTACAACACCCATTACGCATCGGGCCAGTTGCGCCTTGATCCAAAACAAACGCAAAACCTTATTGTATGATGGAATTACACCAAAAGGCGTTCTCGATATCTGTGGCCGTGTGTAGATCCCCCCACGACAGAGGTCTAGAGAAAATGTGACACGGTTTACACTCTAAGTGAACAGAACACCATACCTTTTATCTCTAACATTTTAGCTTCTACTCCCCCCTCCATCGCCGCCATACTTCCCGCTTGTACTAACGCCAAGCAACCAACTTAACTGCTTATTGGCTGTTTAATTTCGATAGAAAATGTTTGAAATGAAAATAAAAACGCATTTGTTTGTTAAATTTAAGAATGTATGCGGCCTTCTCTTGGATTTCATGGAGGTATTCTGATAATCAATTAATTACAGTTTCGTACAAATGGATTACCCACAATCCCCTCTTTCTTTTCTCCATCTTAGCCGCCGTCATGAAGTGAGTGTTTCTGAGTCTTATCCGTGGCCATCTGAGCTTAAAACCATCAAAATAACGCAACTTGGGTAGTACGTTAGCCGAGTACAACCTTTAAAATCTGTAATCATGTTGTCTTTCTTCTTTTCAGGGTCGAGCTTTGTAGTTTCAGTGGGTACAAGATCTACCCCGGTCACGGCCGGCGATACGCCAGGATAGACGGAAAGGTAAACAGGGGTTCCGCCGGCCTTGTCTGTACCGGTTTCCCTCTTGCTGGAATTATTGTACAAATCAAATGACAGTTCACTTTCTGTCAGATTTGAGAAGATTATCTTTTTAACTTACGCAGTTCTTTAAATGCCTGAAGTACAACAACTTGTCCGTACGTCTTGTGGCGCGAACGTAGATGTTTTAACTTCTAGGTGAATTGTTGCTTAGGCCAGTCATTATTTTGTGTGATTGAATTTGGATTTTGGGGGGTTTTATAAAGTGGCTGCTCTCGCATCCTCGGTACAGTCCAAACACGCATGGTTCTTCCGTTGGAAAGCTAGAAACGTTGTGGTTTTGCTATCCATGCATTTGATTTATGACTCGGTGATCAGTCCTTGTTTCAGGGTTATTTCTATGACACATGTCTGCGTGAACGTGCTCTGTGACAAAGCAAACTTCTCCGAGGAATGGTTTGTTCCATCCTCCAAGATGCTATTTAATGGCGGCACTGTCCCGTGAAAGCGCTAGTAAGCCATTCTTGCAGATCAGATGTTTTCAGCCGAGTTTATAAAGTGAAACTTTTTTTTTTCCCCCACGAGACTGACGGATTAAAATGGGAACTTGTGCGTGTAAATAGTATCACTAGCAGAGCTGTTAAAACTTGAGTACTCATGTGAAACTGCAGGGCCTTTAGGCGACAATGTTATTGCTAAGTTCTACTTGGCTACAAGTTGGCAGACTAAAATTCATGGTACAGGAAGGATGGTTTGGCCCTTGTTGATAAATAGCATGTTTACAGTCTGGGGAAGGCAACTGGTCTGCCAGCACTATTAGTGTTTCTGTTATTTCCACTTTAGACCTTAATGACTTGAAATTTGAGAACATGAGAAAGTTCCCATGAGAGAAGTCTATTGGGTCTGGTACTTAATAGTTCATTGATCCATTAGAGCTGTTTCTTGAAAGAAGCCAGGTGTCCACTTCAGCAACAAAGCTGTGCAGCTTGTTACATGCCCCTACAACCCTTTGGGTAAGGAACTGCCTTTTTTTAAAAGCCCTTCCACATGGTTTTCACTTGTCCTCTGGTTAGCGTTCATTCTCAACAGTTTTAGCTGGCTTGACTTTGTCAGTAGCCTGGAGGATTCTCAACTTCTTCCTGAAACAGTTAGGTGGATCAGTCAAGTCAGCTGTGTTCTCAAGGTCTCATCGGGTAGTAGCTAAAAGGTGCCTCTGGGACCCACAGTAGGCTGGCACTTGAGAGCCAGTGTAGCTTGCCCCTGGTCCAGGTGTTTTTGTCACAGATTGATAGGGATCGAGGTCTAGAGGGCCAACGGTGATGGTAAGGTGGATGGAACATCGTTAGTGATATTGACAGTTTTTTCTTCTTTCTGTTCTGATTGGATATGTGGATCAGAAACGTGCACTGTGAAAAGTGGAGAGGAAGTGGGGTCTTAAAAGTGGAATCTGATGGGGGGGGGACGTTGTCTAACGGCAATAGGGTGTGGTAATGTCAACCAGTCTGAGATTTCCACTGCTCTTTACAAAAGGTCTTCCAGTTCCTGAATGCAAAATGCGAGTCGGCCTTCCTGTCCAAGAGGAATCCCCGACAGATCAACTGGACTGTCCTCTACAGACGCAAGCACAAGAAGGGCCAGTCTGTAAGTGTTGAAGGCAGGGGCTGCTGGCTATGTCCATGTGACCAACGCTAGTTTAACCTTGCCATTTTATGTGTTTTGGTTGAATACTTGTATCGTTAAACAATCATTGCTAACATTTCAGTGTTTTGATGAGATTTTGCTGCTTGCAGAGTCACAAAGCTGCTCTTGTGAACTTGACAACCTAGTTTATCAAGCAGGAGCTGCCTGTGAATTTTGTTCAGAATTGTTCAACGCACACATAAAGACTGATATCATGGAAGTTTTCATTGCATCATTTGGTGAGAATGTTGAGCATTACTGCAGCCTGTAGAATGAAGTACTCCCTCCTGATTGGCACCATTGAAAGAATCCAAGGAAACCCAGTACAACGACAGTCGGACTAGGTCTGAAAGACTCAGTGCTGCACTGATCTAATTGTCTTTGTGGTTTGCTCTGCTGAAAGGAAGAGGTTCAGAAGAAGCGAACTCGTCGGGCTGTGAAGTTCCAGAGGGCCATCACTGGTGCCTCTCTTGCTGAGATCCTGGCCAAGAGGAACCAGAAGCCCGAGGTCCGCAAGGCCCAGCGGGAGCAGGCCATCAGGTGAGGGAAAACTGGGGTGTCTGAGGAGGTGTACTCGAGGGGAATGTCCGATCATTGACAAACTTTGGTGCTTTCCCTGGCTATTGGAAAAGTCTGTTACATTCTTGCCTCCCTCTTTTCCCTTTCTGCATTTACCTTAAGTGGAGTCTTTTTCCTGAACTTGCAGCAGAATCGGACTTGGGTGTCGAATCCCTTTTCTTGCTTGCAACAGATCTGCCACGGTTGTGTTTAAAATGACAGTTTTTTTGAGGAGTAACTTGGAAGTCTGGAGCTTCATATGAATTTTAAGACTCCGTTGGAAGACAGATATCTGCTGAGAAAGGAAGCAAGATTGATGGCGATTGTGGTGGGTTATAGTTGTTGATCTTTTTTCTTGTTCTGTATGTACAGGGCTGCAAAAGAAGCCAAAAAGGCCAAACAGGCAACTAAGAAGGTGGCTGCTCCAAGTGCTAAGGTAAAGTTATCGGCATTTATTTTCAGTTGACCATACTCTTTACACAGACTATATGACACCTCTTATCCCGAAGGACTCCAAAGTGCTTTACATATAGAGGAGATGCACTTCACCTTCCAGAAAGACATTTATGTTAACTGCATTTTAATTCCTTAAAGGGTGTTATAAGGACATGTTCACTGTAACAGGGTTAAGGTTTTCTTTAGTTTATGATATAGTGATTTATAAACGCACCTCTTTGTGTGCATCCCTACTCGTTTTTTTTCATATTTTGTGTTTCCTACTTTGAAGAGGTTAGAGAAGTGAGGGGAGTCAGTGTGGGGGGGCTTAATGAAAAGTAAAAAGGTTGGACTGGAAAGTGGTCTTCATTTGTGTGACAGCCGTTTTAATCATACAGAACTAATTACTGCATGTTTTCTCTATTATGCCATTCATTAAAGGTGCTGTTTTTGAAACACCCTGTGTAGTAGCTCTGTTAAATTTCTTCAGAATTGTAAATGGCAAGATAGCAATCAACTTAGTGCAAAATAAATTAAGATTAATCTGTATCAGTCATAGGTGTTTATGTAGTACCCATTGTGCCGTTTAGAATTAAAAAAAGCTTATAGTTAATAATCCACATTGCTTTGAATTTTTATCTATGTCAAGTTGTAAGATTTCCAAGCTTTTACAAGTTGTACTTGGGAAGCAAAAATTAAAATGTAAATAACACTGCAACCTCATTTATTTAACTTACTCAAAACAAGATGTTTTACTTCAAATATACAAGCATATAGCTTGTAGGAGGCTGTTACTAAAACACATCAGAATTTGGCTGTACCTGAGGTATACAATGTGAATAGTTTGGTGATTGAAATTGCTCAACAGATTTTAACTCAAGCACAGAGCATAGAAACGGTTATCCTCCGGATGGGGATTCTTGATTCTGTAATACAGCTCTTTGATTATATGCAGAGACTGATGTGTATTCTTCTTCTCCTGTGCAGGCCCCTGCGAAAGCAGCTCCGAAGCAGAAGATTGCCAAGCCTATGAAGGCACAGGCTCCACGTGTTGGTGGAAAGCGCTAAATTTAAGATCCGATGACCATTTGTGAATAAAGCTTTTGACAGTGTGTACTGTATGTTGCCTTGAGTCTCTTTATACATGGGTGTTGCCAGTTCGAGTTTTGTCATGTGGCTGTGAACAGATTTGTCTGTTTATGGGACCACCGTGCATGTCTTTGCTACCCTATGTTTTTCAGAGTGCTGTTAATAACCGCATCGATTTTTTCTGCACAAGGTTAAATAATTAGGGGAAGACTGCTAATTGAGTCCCAATTTAAATTAATCTGGGCAGAATATTTTGCTAGACATTTCTAAGTGATCACAACTGAAACCTTTTAATGGTGTTTACCCCAATACTTTGTTCATCACTAAGGTGGTGCTGTTTTTCTCTGAATATATGCACTAGTAATGAAGGCAGATGATTTTATTAGAGGTGATGCATACCTTTTAACTATTGTTAAAGTAACATTTTACTAATGTTTATTTGGAGTACTGCAATAACAGGAGCCTTTATATGTAGAGGACGGTTTATAAAAAAATTGTTTATCTTAAAAATACTTAATGGCAACACTGATTCAAGATATTGCACCGATAAGACGAAGCGTAAATTTGAACTATAAGTTTGGGTTTTGTTTTCGTTTACT